GCAGGCAGGCAGGCAGGTAGGTAGATTTTTGGGAGGTAGGTGGGTAGGTAAAGCAGATTGTGCACATGTATGTGTGTATGTTGTAAATGTCGAGGTACTTGTTTAAATTTGTATACATGCGGTCGATTTAGCTTGATTTGCACGTCCACACCTTGGCCTGCATGGGGAGCGGAGCTGGAGACCCACCTCAGTGCAACTTGAAAAAATTCGAGGGTTCTCTTGTAGCCCCGATACCATCACACTGCAATACGCCCCAACCTTGTTCGGGTCTGGGGACATGTTGGAAAGCCGAAACTCCACGAGAGGCCATGTAGCAAAACTGTCGAGGCCCGGACGGAGTTGGTTCTCGAATGAGCGCTGCGCTACCTGGCCACAGCAAAGCCACGTGTGGCTCTTGACATGCCCTTTCTCTCTATGTACTTATTTACACATCTAGTTTCAATTTTTGGTTCATTCCTAAATGTCAAAATATACATATATGCGTTTGGTGTGCATTTCCTGACTTAACTTATTGGTTGCCTTTTATGTGAACTTATTTGTCACTTTTGAACTCATTCGCTACCTATTGGCGTATGGCTTCTGCTACCTATTGCTGTATGGCTCTTTATCTACTCATTTGACATATTCCTTATTCATTCACACTTTGCTCATTATAATTTGCGCTTTATCACTAATGTATCCGCCTGTTTCTGTATATAATGGTTCGGCCTAAAAGGATCGAACCTGCTTCGACTCGACACGGCGCACGCCAAGCATGCCCCGGTAAGCCCTAACCCTTCAAACACGCTAAGCCCCAAGCCCCAAAACTAACAAAGCCCCGATAGTAAAGCCGCATACCCCTTCAACCCCAGATATAAGCCTTCTGCCAGGCTCCCATCTTTCAGCCCCAGGTTACTAGTCGTTGCTCATCTTGCCAAGGCCCGCACTGTCTCGGATCCGTGCCCATGCCTGCAGTACCAGGTACCATTGATCGATATTCTTCAATCCTCTCTGGTCCACGCCAAGCGCAGCCAGGCTGCGCAGGAGCTTGGAAGAGCGGGAACCAGTTGAGGCCTTGGGCCTCAGAAGAACATGTCACTAAGTGGCAAGGAACACTCAACCGATCCCCGGCCGTAAGCAGCAGGCGGAGCGACTCGGAGAAGCAGATCTGCTTCGATTGCTTCCTTGAGCGAAACTCTGCTCTCACGATTGCCGCCTTTTAGCGTGCAGGTTTTTGCTTCCGAGCACAAGCGCTTGAATAGCACACAGTTATGTTCGCATGCCTAACTCTCTTCAGCGTCTTCAATTGGAGTGAACAGCCGATCACTCAGCTACACAGACTCGGACTTGGGTTTCATTGCTCTTGCTCAAGCCTGCCACTTAGGGGCAAAGCACTGGCAAGAATCTAACAATTCTCACTCTACCCACTCCGGATTGATGATTCGGGTTTTTTGGTGCTGCTAGTTCCAAGTTGCAGCATGAGAAGGCACATAGACATGGACATGGACATAACTTAACCCTCAGCTGCCTCTAACACGCACACCAAGGAGGAGAGGGCCCGTGTTTTTGTCGTGCTTTGATGCTTGCGACTGGGCATCGTGCGAGCACCTCGGGACGGCGATCGGCGCCCGCTGGGCGACGCCGAGCGATCCGGTCGGTCCGAGCATTTCAGCCTTCCGGTATGTATTTCAGGGCCTTGATAGTTGGACTAAGGTTCAAGGGCCGCTGTATCTTAACTCATACCTTTATAATATAGTGATCACAAGGCAATACTTGGGTCAAGTTTTGCAGACCTCTGTCCTGTCCGGTTTCAGGTTCCGGATTGATTCGACTCATGACCTACTTGAACTCTTGGCATATTATCCGTTGAGCCCAGTGCCATCAGGTCGGCTACAACTTTGCAAATCCTCACTGTTTGTACTACTGCCAGACGTAATCTTCAAAAACTGCTGCTGGGTTGTCATAGAAAGTGAGACTACGTACTGCCTGAGAGAGCCACCGTTGGCTTCGCTACTGACACTTATCTTGCTCATCTTCTTGCTGCGATTAGACAGCTGCCTGGTGTTGCCGTGACCTCTGGTATTACAATGATCGTCGAGTTACCGCCATGTTCTTGATGTTGCGAAAAGCATGCCTAGAAGTCTTACAGACCTTTCTTGTACCACTACAGGGCAAGTATCGAAGTGTGTTTCCAAAGCCATACCGTGCATCGACTGAAACTGCTTATATTGCAGTCTAGACACTTCCTCCATGCCTACAAGTTCTTGCTCTGCTATGCGTCCTAGTACCAGTAACACCCATCGCTGCCATGACTGATATGAGTACTCTGACTGTCATGCTTTCCACGCTCTTCTCGGCATCATGATTTCTATGGTCTCGGATGTTACCATGACGACTGCGACTTGGCTTCCCACCTTTAGAACTGTCTACTAGTGCTGCCAGTCTTACCAGCATGCTGGCATTGCGAGCTTCACCGACGGTGCGACTAATACGATCATGAATGCTCCTAGCACGACCCGTGGTCTCACCACTCTGCATTACCATTTCTGCCACGGGCACACCACGAAAGCGATTCCAACAATTACTGGTACTGCTACTGAGTTACTAATGCTTGATACTGAACGCATGCTGATGATGTGTGATGCAGACGACAGTGATGAAGAAGATGGAGATAACTTGGACATTGGAGTGCTGAGCGACCACAGTTCCGACTTTGACAATGACTGTGAGTTCCACAGACAGATTGTTCCTCTGATAGCTCACTTTCAAGCCCGCGGCTGGCCTGAAGCTGGCCTTAGCAGAAGCGTAGATTCAGGCAAGGTCACTTACCCGAACCAAGTTCCGGAAATCCTAGGCATCTCACAGTGTGCGCGCGAGAGAGTCGGTGGCCGGCATGGGTCTGGCGGCACGTACACAGATTGAGACTGTATTGGTTCCTCAGCACTTTCGAGGGCCGCGGCCTCATCTTCGCCCAGGCCCAGATCTCGCCATGAGCTGCGGGACAGAGATCTGCTCAAGGGCCTCTAGGGCAAAGGCGGGCAAATTTGCGGCAGCACATCCCTGCTAGGGCCCTTGGCCCCAGGGCCAAGCTGGGAGTACATCAGGAGAGAGACTTGCTCAAGCCAATGGCCGTACTATCTATCACTAGCTGCTGACAATAGCAGAAAGCAAACACGGCACCTCGAGCGGCCAGAATTCAGGGGCAACACTCGATCACGCAGTGAGGAGTTGAAGTCATTCCCAGGCCTCCAGGGAGGGCTTTCTGCTGTAAGGCCACTCGCTCGATAAAAGCGGTGCTCGGGCTTGCACGCGTTCCGGTTGTCCCAAGGCCCGTGAGCCTGTGCCAGCAGTGTCGCTGAGTTGCAGCGCATGCCTTGATCGCTTCAACTGCAACTGGAACCTGCAGTGACTTCTGGTAGCTGTCATGCCTGGCAATGTGCAGATAGCCACAGCATGCCACAGCTCTGCACGCGTGGCCCATGCACAGCCTCCCCTTGGAAGGGATTCGCATGGAACTCTTTGGCGACGATTCCGGCGTAGATGCCCTGCATTGGAGCAGTCGCGGTCATGTCTCCCCATGACAACAACACCGAACCTCCACGAAGCGCTTCGCATGCCCATGGAGGCTCTGGACGACTGTGGGCCTGCAACTCGCCGGTGCAGCGGCCCCGAGTTCAGATGAGCTGAAATGCAGCTCGATCTACAGGTAACGGATGAGGCGCGAGCTGATGGGTTGAGGGACCACCCTGCCAAGACTCGCAGTTGCAATCTATGCCTGTGGGCCCCACTGAACAACACCAGACGCGGCAGAACAAGGCCTCTCCCGCCTTTCCAGCTTCGGGCTATCAACGATCTTACGATCCTCCTGTCAACTTCTGTACAGCAGGTTGTGCACGAGGCATGCACCGATCCATCGTTGCGAAGCACGCCCATACATGTTTCGTCCGTGCTGGACAGCTTGTCCTCCATGATGCGAAGCTCTTTCGAGGCACTGCGGGCCAAGTGGGTTGGAGTGCCGCTGCGAGCACCTGAGGGCCTGCAGAAAGACAAAAGTTGGTGGTCTCGACTACCACAGCGGAACCTAAGAAGGGCCTCCAAATGACTGCTCTCGGATGGTTTCAGAGAACTAGCTGCAGCAAAACACGCACACATGCTACACTTTACTGCGTTAGAGTTGCAGTAGAAGGAAGACATACTAAGGTGATCCGCTTGTACCTCTTGTGTAGCTCGTTTGGTCACTGAGCATCCGGCTGAGCATCTTTGAGGCTTCGGGTGCTCGTCGGACCTCGAAGCAGTAGTTTTGACGGGAGAAACAAGGCAGCTAAGGAGATCCTGGTGCTTCTGCTCGCTGCAGAGATGATGGCATGTTGTGAATGGTATCCTACCCTGAAGTAAGTTGCGGCTACGCACCACCCTGGGAGACAGGGCTGCTGCTGATGATGGCGGTCGGCACTGACCTCCACGCTTAGGAGCTGTGGACCACGGACAAAATGTATTGGCAACGGTGATTATGCCAAGGATCACAACGGTAGTAGAAAAAGAACTGAGAGTAGCAGAGGAAGTTGTGTTACAGCAGGTCTACTGGTGGTGGCTCAAGGGAGCAACTCAGGTCATCCCACCTCTCCTGTGTCTTCATGGCCTGTGCAAGCGGCAGGAGTCTTTGCTTTCGCCACCAGCGGAAAGATTGAGGTGCAGGACAACTTACACTACAATACAACTGCGCAGTAAAGTGCAATCTGTATTTAGTATACCGGCCACTATGACATCGTCCAGCCGAGCCAATGCACTGTATATATCTGTATATCACTGTAGCGCATATGGCATAGTTCCTATGGTAACAGATACTAGTCCACTTTATGCGGCATCTAGAGCATGCCTAAACTGTTCACCTGAAATACAGGCCCCAGTCGACTGCGAAGCTAACACCACCGTCAACGTCTTGAACCAGATTAGAGTAAGTCACCATTGCTTGTATCCCAGTGTAGCATCTCCTGGTGTACCATCGTGCACGAGTGAATAATGATTGAGAAAAAGTTCTGCTTTGGACCCCGCTCCCTGTGCTCTGTTTGAGACTCTCGTAGAATAGTGCCATGCCTTGGGGGAAGACGTTCTCTCCAAAACGTCGACCCGTACCTTGCGCACTTAAGAAGCTAGAGTCCAGCTCTTTACTTTCCATGTCCATTCTTCCTTTCGGGCTTGCAGCAGCTCGCTGGCTTTGATTTACTTTTAGTTGGAATCCTGAAACGTGGCAGAGAAAGCCGCTAGCATCTCCAATGCCATGCAGCTTGAAGCAGCAAAAGATCTAACAAGGTAAAACGGTGAACAGCAATGCAAGCGACATCAGCACATGCACAGAGACAGAGAGAGACAAAGGTACAATGAAGAGAGAGAGAGAGAGAGGAGAGAGAGAAAGAGAGAGAGAGAGAGACAGAGTCAAAGTCAGAAAAAGACATATAATAGATATCTCTATTTATATATATATATATATGTATGTATGTTCATATATATATGTATGAACATATATTATCCACACAGGAGAACAAGCCCTTCCTGCATCAAGCGCACACGATCTTGGCTGAGGCTTCGCAGCCGCGTGAAGCCTCCTGGCGTGCCAATGCCGTCGAGGACCCGCGGCATTCCCTCAGTCAGTACGTGCTGCCATACACAGGGTGAGTTTATCAAGTATTTCTTCGATGGATTGATAAGACTCCTGAACGGCATTGGCAGTCAAAGACCGAGCAGGGACTTATGTGCCTGCGCATATGTGCCTGTATTTAGTTTGTGTATTTACAACAGCACAATGATCTGTTTAAGTTCTGAGTGCTGTCATTGCGCGTGCATTCGTGTCGTGTTGAACCTGAGCACCCCAGGGCTGCTCCCTTTTTGCTTCTACTCTCAGTCCGGAGGTCCGATTCCAAACGCATTCACGTTTGAAGGCCCCAATTAGGCAGTTCGCTGCCGGCCGTGGGATGCCCTTGCGATGCGTCGGGCGACGGCTCACTGGCTCTTCTGGCGGCGATAGCTACAACCCCTTTTGACCGATCGTCATGACTCGCCAGCCGGCGCAAGGGAGGTGGGCCACGTCCACGGCAAACACGGGTTCAAGCATGATTCAATTCAGGCAAACACCATAGCAGCTACTGCACATGTTGACCCATGAGGTCCGGGCAGTTTCAGCAACCGGACGGTATCCCAGCATGGGGCTGGACATGGGACTCACCACATGACCTGAATCATTCGACTCAAGCACATGGATTACACGGTTTGGTTTTCGGTCAAGTCCCAGACACATTGAAATCTGGGCCTCGCGCTGTGCAGTGACGGTGTCGCTGCTGCGTACACCGTCCGGTGGGTCACGACCGGCGAATACACCGCGCCAGGAGGGATGGTGTGTGGTGCCGCTACACGGACCGGCTGCGCGAACTGGGGGTAGGTGGGGGCACCCAAAGGAGCATATGGCAAGGACACATGCCTGACCTGCCCTGCGGGAGCTGCGCGTGGCGTACCCTGGACTTGGCCGAAATCAAAGACACGGCCTGCGACAAACGGATTCCCAGGAGGGAGCAAACTCACCATGGCGGCCTGCACACGAGACATCACCAAGCACTCAAGCTCGCTGGCCACGCATCCTGCCTCCAGGCCAGCTGCTGGGCTTCTGCGGGAACACCTCTAAGCCTTCCGAACCAGGAGCAAGATCGCATCGAAGATGCAAATCATGCAGGAATGCCGTCCACACCCTCCCAACAAAAAGGAGAGACATGCAGAGCTGGTCCGTTTCCCTATGTCCAAACAGAAAGAGGGAAGAAGGCTCTCGTGGCCAAAGAGCCAGACATTTACAGCCCCCCCAGCAGCGCTGGAGGGTTTCAGACGATCGGAAGCATGCGAAACTGGCCCAAATTTAGGCATCTAAAAGCATCTGCCCGAACGGTTCACGGCGCAATTGGCGTGTCGGCCTGGCTCAGGGTGCATCAAGGAAACAGATGCAAGTGGCCGAAACGAAAACATATGCCAGCTGCACCCATTTCGGCCGAGTCTTGTTCCTTGCGAGGGACTGCAAAAACGTGTCAAAAGCCGTAGATGAATACGAGCATTAAGAACGAACACGGCAATTTCAGACATCGCTGCTGCGAATACTGCCATCCGGATGTTGGAGCCTAGGGCTTGACCCTAAACCGCCTACTAGTGCTCAGCTCCCCTAGCTGCTATAGCCGGCGTAGCTTAGATTAAACCCCTAAACTGTAAACCCTGAACCCTAGCTTAGCTGAGCTGCCTGGCAATCTTCCGCTCACTCCGGTTTAGGGCACCGACACCACAGCTTGCATCCCAGCTTTGCACTCTGGGCCTGACCAATCAACGAATTAATTCAATGAAACAATCACTTCATCCATCCTTCCAGCGAACGATCGATCCATCAATGAAGCACTCAGGCAACCAATCCTTCATCGTAGCGGCGAACTCACCAAGGAATCGAAAAGTACGCCAGTAATAACATGCGCGTATAGATAGATAGGTAGGTAGTAGATAGATAGGTAACATAAGATAATATAAGACACGATAGATAGATAGATAGATAGATAGATAGATAGATAGATAGATTATTGGATAGATTCGGATAGATAGATAGATAGATAGATAGATAGATAGATAGATAGATAGACAAATAGATAGACAGATAAATAGACAGACAGATAGATAGATAGATAGATAGATAGAGAGAGATAGTTAGCAGCTAAACTAGGTAGATACATGACACATACATAGACAGATGGAGGTAGATGCAGACTTCATAACAGATGATGTAAGCTTATCAACAAAGACAGGTGTAGATGATAATTCTTTCTTATTGTTACTAGACCGGCCCCTGATGCTGGAGCTTACCAGAAACTGACTGAATCAAGCAGCCATCCCGGCCACGTTTGAAGAACACATAGCGCCCACCAACCAGTTAACGCAGCAACTAACAAGATGGACTATCTATAGTTGGCTTGCCAGCTTCTCAGTGCCACTGCTAATGAATTACTCACGCTCATCCATTTGTTCGCTTGCCTCCACTGATCAACTCAGTTGGAGTCTCTGTCAACACGGACTATCAGCGGAATCGTATCGATGGGTCGCTTGTTGACAGCTCGGAAGACATCATGCACTGAAGCCTGCCTGCGCGGATGTCCGCAACGATTCCTGCCACGTAGTTCATCCTGGCGACGCACATCAACGGAATGGGCCGGCGGAATTGAACAGGATCCGGTGGCATGGCAGCTGAGTCAGAACAGCATTCAATCTCTGGGTTCGGCTCGGCATTCAAGACTTCAAACGCTGCCGTCGCCGTTAAGCATTTGTAGTTTCTGTATTGCGGGTTTGTGTCCACCGTTGCGGAGCGGCTCTTGCTTGAGACCGTTCGCGGCCAAGTGAAAGTGCGGATCAGCATTTTCATGTTTCGCAGCTCTCCTCTCGCCGTGAGTGAATTCCACACGCGCCGTCTGAATGGGCTTCAGACTAGGCTTGCTGACAGGTTCGAGGTTGTGATGCTCACATTGCTCAGCGCATGCTGGAAATCGCTTTTACACGTATGCGGCTTCGAACACGGAATCGGAAGACCACAGAAAGCTAAGCTCCACCTCACCGCGAAACAGAGAAGCAGGGGCCGGGCTTCAATGAGAGCGTGCCCGAAAAATATAATATAACAATAATAATAAGAAGAAGAAGAATAATAATCAAACACTCCAAGACTGCCCAAAAGCATCGAGCCTCCGTTGGCATATGTGTAAGCATGGTTGCGACAGAGTGCATGGCTAACGGCACAAGCAACCATGCATTCTCGTGAGACCACAGAACCCCGGCTACTTCCAACTCTGGGCGGCACATGAAGGAAGATGGGGGCACACCGACCTTGGCGGCGGGCTGGTTCTCTCGAATGCGAGTCCCATGTACGGCTAGAACTCGCATAAAAGTCAACAAGTCAAAGGTTATATACGAGCTCCACTGACTTGTGGCACGTAGTAGCATTTGGAGCTGTGTTGTTTTTGGTCTCCATGGTCCATGGTCCAGACGCAGCTGCTACCAGTACAGCTCTGGGCCAACTGCCGTGTTCATGACCACGTCTTTGGTGGCAGCCTTGTTGCGAGGCTTGTCGGAATCCTCTGTTCTAGAAGAATCCCAATCGCGAATGAAGCCACAAACTAAGGTTGAGATATATAGTGTCCGGCTCTTTGCCGAAGTCATGCCGTCATACCCATCCTAAAAAAAATACTGATCAAAATGTCTCGGTGCCCCGCCACAGCTCCAGGTGCGCAAAGTGTCATTCGGTCACAAACAGCTTGGCACTCGGTCTGCACAGAGAGCACGTCCAGAAACGGGAACGCATGACGAACACTTCAGGCATGCTGATCGATTCCTGCGAACACTACGGAAGCACTGAAACGCTGGTGCACAACTTAACTAACTCAGTCCACCAAGCCTGGGGCCTTTCATCCCAAACCACTAGCCCAGAGCCCTTTGTAGCGGCAAAGGCCACATTCATAGCAACTGCGGCGAAGACTGAAACCAGCAAGGCTTGTGGAATCTTGGGTTCACAGTGCGGGCATTAATCAAAGGATACACACTAAAAATCCGTCCGGCTTAGAAACACCCTTGGCCGTGGTGCCTCAAGGTCTTTGATTTCGTCGACCACCTTGTCGACGAAACCATACTCCTCGAAAGCTACTGGTAGACTGAATCAGCGCGACAACGCGCGGCAGTACCCGGTGACCAACCGTGCAATCTCCGAAAGCATGCAGAATCCTCGGCTATTTCTGATGACAAGTTCGCCCCGGCAAGGACGAGCTGATACCTCGGATCCGAAGCTCTGCAACTGCTCTCACGTCGCTCTCATAGATTCTGGAGATGGAAGCACATCAAATCGCTCGAAAACATGCAGTGACCACGGGAATGCGACAACACAGCTTTCTGCCTTCGCAGCTGCGTTTGCATGTGCTGTCCATTAACCGGGTGGCTTTCGCAGCATGTTCATTAGATCTTATGTTCCTGTGTGCTTCGGCTGTGTAGTCCGAAACTCGTGAGCGTAAACTACGTAATCAAAGACTCAGGCAGCTATGGAATCAAACTCGTGCGCTTAAGATGCGTGTTGGATACGGTGACCGAGTCCCGGGCACATTTTTAATGAAGGTACACCGCCTGCGCATCGTGCAAGGCTGAACATGGTTCACAGCTTCCCGCACGTGCACGTACAGGTCACTTACTATTACAAGCCGTGCTGGCACGTGTGTGCTCACCCCGACCTGGTGATGTAAGGCAAGGCAGTGGCGGGCACCTTGGCTAGGAAAGCGACCAACAGCAGCAACAATAACAACTGCAGCAGCGGCAACATCAACAGCAACAACAGCAACAACAAGAACAACTGTTACAATTACAATTACAATTCAAATGGGCGCTGCGGGAGCGGGCTGTGCGCATGGCGAACATACTACCTCACCAAGCACTCACTACTGGGTTAATCCCAACTGGGAGGGCCCTAGCCGACGCCGACCCACCCATGGCAAAGCAGATGCGTGACGTGAAGCCGCACCAGGGCGCTGGGCCGAGCCAGAGCCTTCCGGCTTCTGGTAAGAGCCCCCTGGCTGGGTCGAGCCCACTTCCATTGGAGTAGCCAAAGACTCCGGAAAGAATGTTTGAGATGCCACTTGAAAGCACCCCATCGCCAACAAAGTTGACAGCGTGCTCGAAGAATCGAAGAAGTCCGCAAAATCGCAAGTGAGAATCTCTTGCTGCGTTGTCAGTGGGCCTCGCCCCCTGCTGCATCGGTGGCGGGCGGTCGGTTGCGGGCTTTGTTCCAGGCTCAGGCTCGGGCGAAGCCGCGGAGACCCATTCTGAAACATAGAATTTAGCTGTGGCCGTCCAGTGGGTTTCCTGATTGATTGACAACGGCGTCACAAGGCTCAAGCGATTGCAGGCTGAGGCGGGCCCCCCGTAGGTTCTAGTTATAAGGAGCAATGGTTGCGCCGGATCCAGCGGCCCTCGTGGCAGCAGCGGTCCGCGCAGCTTGTCTGGCCAAGGCCCCTCGACGCACGGCGCAAGGAGTCGCAGCAGCGTTCGTCTCTGTCCTCATGAGACCCGTGGAGGCGGCTCCGAGCACAGTCCGAGGTGAGACTGTCAGAGGCCCTGCGGCCCCCGAGGCCGTTGTGGCAAAGAGTGAGGAGGAGCGGCGTGAGGTGGTCAGGGCCAAGCGTCGCAGCAAACGGCAAAAGAAGAAGGCTTTGAAGGCAGCTCAGGCAGCGGCTGCTCAAAGTACGGCGGTGAATGCAGACGAGGCTCAGATTGGAATGGATGGGGACTATGTGACTGCTGAGCCGGACGCAGCAGAGGGTGTGCTCACCCCCAAACGGCTGAGGAGCCCGAACCCTGACCGTGGCCACACGGGGCTGACCCCCCTAGGCAAGCGGCAGTGTTTGGAGGCCAGTGACGGAGCGAGGGTGGAGCCGGGGAAAACAGCGACAGTGAAGACGGCGAATGCTCAGGCATCTCCATCTACACTGAGTCGGAGGGAGGGACGGTACATCTGTGGTCGCCTTCCACAAAGATTGGGCGTAGCGAAGCTCTGAGACGGTGGCAGGAACACAAACAGAAGCAACGGGGCGAGGTCCCAAAGCTGCCGACTGGAGGCTCCGGGCCTTCAAGTTGACCTCGGAGGTGGTGCATGTGAATTTCCAGGCTGTTTGCGCTTGGCCTCTTTTGGGCGGGTCCCGTGAGCAGCGAAGCTGCATGCGGAATTTTCCGTTTGGCAGGAGGCTACACCTGAGGCCTGACTTGGGTTGGCCACTTTTGGGCTGCACGCGGAGATTTTGGCGGGCGGCTACACCATCGTCAGTGTGCCGTCCTCTTCGACTACTACTACTACTACTACTACTTGACAACAACGTCACAGACATCTTGGACATCTTTTTGAATTTTGATGTAAGCTGTCCACGGCTGCTGGCCTAGATGTCTTGAATTCCAGGATAGGATTTGCCGCGCCTGGCGCGCAACTCCTGCGCGTGACCTTCTGGCCAAGTCCGATGTGAGCGACTGCCCTACGTAAGAGACTAGTACAGCACTGCGCACGGCTTGGCGATATACATGCCTGAAGTTGCTCTTTCGGATACGACAAAAATTTCGTGAGCGCTCCGGAAGCAGCGCCATCCGCTCTATTCGTCACAACAGCAAGCTGAAGTGACTCTCTCCAGCGTGGCCGGTGGAAACTCTACCGCTTGCCCAGCAAACGATGCCGTAGACATGGGTCCAGGAATTGGGACCTGGCACATCACACGAGTTCAGCACACCGGGAGGCGCATAGCTCGAACGTTGGGCCCAAACCTTAAGGTTTGGAGAGGGCTCGGTGGAAGGCTCGAAACGCCAGAAAAAAGTTGGAGCCCTTAGCCTGCTCGAAAGCCCCTTTGACTGTGCGGCCGTCTGATCCATAGCGGCTACAACAGCGGCAGCAGCGGCAGCAGCAGCAGCAGCAACGGCAACAGCAGCAACAGCAACAGCAACAGCAACAGCAACAGCAACAGCCAACAGCAACAGCAACAGCAACAACAACAGCAACAACGCTAGCAACAACAACGACAACGACGACAACGAGAACGACGACGACGACGACGACAACAACGAAGAAGAAGTACAAGTACTAGCATATCATCTCATACCGCTATCAATCAAAACATGTTGAACATAACAGTACGTATAGCACAAGTAATACGCCTGGTGTTGATCATCAGTGCTACTGTTATAATTCCTTGGAAAGCAGCCAACACCCGGGGGGCGCACAGCTCCTAGCTTGGTTTCGCTCATCGTGAAGAATGCACCTCACAAGTCGCTGGAGGAACCCTGGGGAGGGTTCGTCAGAAGGTGAGACTTCACAGGGCGATGAAGTTGGACGGGACCCCGGGCTCTTCACGGAGATCACATAGTCGCAAGCACACACGAGGCCGATGCCAGCCTCAGCTCGGAGCACCCTATAGCTACCATATGCTACCATAGCATCCTGAGCCCTGCAAGGGCCGACATTCCGACAATTCCAGCCCTGCACTGACGTGCTCGGTTGTCGAACAGTGTGCACTTGTCGTGGACTCTTCTTCTGATTACCGCAACTGTGACCACTACAGTACGGCGTTTTCCACTACCCTTGCCATGTGAGAAAGAGTCAAGGCTCCCTGCTCCCATGGCCGTTCCCTGGATCAGCGCGACCGTCAGCTGCTGAAGCCTTCCGAAATATCGCGGGAAGTTCAAGACCCCCTGAACCTGTGTAGGTGTGCAGACAGGCTTGGATATGCATGGATACACCTACCTTGCGAGCTCTGCTCCAGTCAGCACCTTTTCTCTGGCCGCAACGCATGCGCAGTAGACCCTGCACGCGCAGGGCTTCTTCGACGGGGGGCTTGCCGCTGTCACCCCGCCCGCTCTTCCTGCGGATCCTGCCCAGCAAGAAAATGGACCAGCGACATGTCTTCTAGTCTTTCGGCGAAGAATGTACGTGTAGATACATGTATATTCTGCATATGAACACATACATGATACATATGTCATAAATGTAATGTATATATATATATATTAATATATTATATTGCAGACTGGCCCTTTTTTTATTTAGTGCTAGAATCTTGTGCGGCCCTGCCTCGTCTACGCCAGCCCCCGGCGGGGGCTCGTCTTTCTTGCAGACGCCGCCCACCGATTGTTTGGCGATCTGGAAAGTGACCACAGGGGGCCTTGGAGGTACGTAGGGCAGGGCTTAGCAATGATTTTTTTTTAAGGGGGGGGGTTCGGGGCTTGATCGCACCATGCACATCTGAGATTGCTTCGCAAGCTACTTGTTGGATGGCGGGAACCTGGGAAGGCAACCAGTGCCTACGAGAAGCCTTCGGATGATTCACTCCACCCGAGAGTTTCCCTTCTAGCCTGAAGGGCCCTGAACCTGAAGTCCTCATGGAACTCTGCAGATCCGAAAGCCAGGCTGCCGCGTCGGCTTTGGCGGCGTTGGGTTTAGGAAGGAGCAGAAGCGGAACTTCGGCTTCGGCGGCTCCGGCTCAGTGTCAGACTCGCTGAAGGTGAGCAGATAACAAGCGCGCTGAGAGAAGCATCCCTGAGCCTAAGCCTAAGCCGCTGGCCGGTGGTTTCCAGTCCTGATTCTATGGACAGATCCATGTAATCGCGGCCACTTGGGGCCTATGCTGCTCTACCGTCTTGAGTTCCCCACAGCATCATAGCCTGAGATTTAGCAGACATGGGAGAGGCAGGCAGACAGATTACTGATGTAGGTTGCATGAGCAAGACGGGTTAACTTGGCTCTAGAACGTGGTGAGTTCACAAGATGAGAAAAGACTTAAACAACAAACGAAACAGAACACACCTAGCTCGCCACCTGCAACGAAACAAAAAGATGCGCCTGTCAATAACAGCGAACGCGGCTTGACCCCTTTCGGAACCCACCGAACCGATCACAGTCAAGCTTAAAACGAGTACCAACGCGTCCTGCAAAAATCAGAAAGACCCACACGCATCCGATGGCCCATCCCCTCCTCCCCCTCCCGGCTCGCTGACTTCCACAAACACCCGCTGCTTGTGCAACAAAGCGCACGGACGAAGCTGCAAAGCAACGGGCGCATCCCTCGACCCGCCAGCGAGCGCAAGCACAACAGCGCGTGGCTTCGGCAGCGCACCCACAGACGCACCCGGCCTCTGACTCTGGAAGGACCCGCCGGGACGTTCCCTGACCTTCTCTACGCCGGCATGGCATGCCCACGTCGGGGCTTTGCCGTGTCGTGCGACCTGTGACGGCTGTGATTCGCCGTGCAAGAACGACAACCGTCCAAAGACTCTGGAAGGAAACGTTCTGCCCTGCCTGTCCTTTGCTCTTCAACGCTTGAACGCTGGACTCGCGCACCTGAGAACAAAACCTGCCACCATTCAGCATCGCTCATCTTCAGGGGCCGGATCCCGGGCACAAGGGTACGGTATATAATAGAAGATAACGTAAAAAATCTCGAATCAAAGCCGCACACTGCGCAAAAGCCAACGGCGCGCAGTAAAGAAACCCTCCACAAAAGATTCCGGCGATCATGAAGCACCGTTGCAATCAAGAGGCACTTGGGCATCTTCCCGCCCTCGCACTTCAGCCTGATCGGTGGTACCTCGCAGAGGGCCTTTTTGGCAGCCTCAGGAAACACGAAAGCAGCTCCTGAGAGTCTGCTGTCTATCATCATCGCAATCCTTTTCTCTGACTTTCTCGCCACCGCGGGCCTCCTGGTACTTTTTGGAGCTGGCAAGGTCGGTGTCTCGGCTTGCTGGGCTTATATGGCACCCCTCTTGCACGCCCCCTTTACATCTCTTAATGCCTTAATCTTTCGCCAAGGATCTCTTGATGGCATGGTAGGTGTGCACAGGCCTGATGCACAGTGCCATCAAAGAACAACATAGAGCCCGAAAGCCAAGAGCCGAAAGGGGCTCTGCCCGCAGCTCGAGAGATTTTGATCTTAATCGAATCCATATTCAAACGTTGATCCAGGCCATGGTGCGCGCTGGCGCCGGACTCATCCTCTGGCCCGTTACCTTAAAGCAGCGACAATTAACGCCTCTTCCTGGCCTTTGAGGCTTCCTCGCGGTTACCTAACTCATCTCAGGCTGGTCCCAGCAACGCAGCCAGGCGGCTCATGCCATTCTGGTTGGACTTCCCGCCGGAATAGATCATGCGGACTTTGCCCTTGGGACAGGCCTCCGTCTCCTCTCGGCAGCCAGAGAGGACCAGCCTCTAAGGATTCTGACTCTGAAGATCTCGGTGCAGACTTTGGGCTCCGAATGGCTCCCCGCAGCTGCTCTTTTGACTCTCTCGCACTCGCCGGGGCTCGGGGGAACTCACGCCACAAGGCCGCGCGATACTCGTCAGTGGAGCTCAAGATCTGGCAGCAGTCGGTTGAAGGAGATTGAAAGGAACGTGCAGCTGTGATGCATGAAAGCTTGCAATGTATCGGGGTTGTTTTTGATTGTGTGTAAGACTTAAGATGTGCTATGTGACACCAGCAATGCCAAAGCAATCGCATCCGCACGAACGTGTGCACATACGTACAGGCATCTATGCAGCCATGCAATCACACATTACGTGTACAACTGAGCGATGCATAGGAGTGCCATTATTCACTTAACGAATAATGGTCTAATCGCAGCTGGTATCACGATAGGGCATGATTCAGATATACAGTGACATGGCTTTGCCTTTCGTGACCCGTGACCTCCCCGCCGTCCAGGGTTCGCAGCACTTCCTTCGCTGCGTGTTTCAGAACCCGCCCGTGGCCCCACCAGCCATAAGGGCAGCCGGCCATCCATCGCGCCTGAACGCAAGTGGTGTTCGGGCATGCCGAGCTCGCCCACGACCGGACAAGGACGGAAACACGAGACACTAACACAAGCAGTTGAAATGAGAATCATCATGTACAAGAAGTGCAACAAGAATGGTGGGTCTAGCAACATGATTCCGAGCATTTGCCCTGCCAGGTCCAGGAGCGCCAGGCGATAGCAAGCAGCGACCTGTGATCCACCCAAAATAAAAATCAGCGAAGAATCTGCGAACTCAGCGCTCCTGCCTGCTCCAGCGTTGGGGCAGGCTCCTGTCTCATCGAGAGCTGCTCCGACAAGGCCCGGTGGTAGGTAGCCAAATAAGAAGCTTCGTCAGCCGAACTAAGCTGGCCTCAGGGGGACAAGCTCGACGATTGTGCAACTTCGACAGGTACCAACTAGTAGATTCGCACTCACCCAGCGAGTGCCTGAAGCGCATATGAGGCAGTAGGCGATGTCCTTTCCGATGCATGCTTTTCCAGTCCACTGAAAGTCGAACATGCCGATGATACCATCGTGAAGGCACATATTGTGATCTGCTGACAGGGTCGGGCCGAGTCTTCAGCTGGGTGAACGCTAGGATGGCTAGACAAGATCATCAATCGACTCCCACCTTTGCAGTCGCCATGGCAGATGCTCTGCGGCTCCAGTTTCAAACGTTCGTCCACGGCATCCGCTGCCAAGAGAAGCCTCTGGCCAAAGCCATCCTGCGGGGAGATGCAGCACAGATACGTCCTAAACCCGTGCAGACTCAATACCCTCAAAATCTGATGCCCCAGAACCTGTAATCATGCCTCGGGCTCCAATAGTAAGCTGCAGGCTCCCTAATCACATCCCATCACAGAACTGCGGAGAGACAGTTCAAACATGGGATCGTCCTGTGGGAGATTTGAGAGCTGATCCCGGCAGTTGTCCAGACTCCAGAAACAGCCCACTTCGTGCAGACCTGCTGCGACAGCAGCCTGCAAGACTCAGGACTTCCGAAATCTCAGTGGTCTGAGGCTGAGGTTGTCAGGATCTGGATCGTTGTCAACGAAAGGAGGCTGTCGAGTTTCTGCTTGCGTCGGAGCCCTGTGAAACAATGCCCGAATCAGCGCGAACACAATCAATCGGCAGAAGCGCCCCCTTCGATGCAATGCGAAACACTATCGCAACAGAGATCGTCAGCCCTAGTGAAATTCTATCCAGGACTTCTGCTGAAGAATGGAACCTACTGGATCGGTTGACGCTCGCAAATACGTCGCGCGCGCATCACTCCAACATTCGGCCTCTGCACGGACTCCCCAGAACTCTGCATGCAGTCGAGCCAGCCACTGAAGGGCTTGATCCGTCGCTGCTGGGCTCAACTTCCTCCAGAGCACGACGGAGGACTCAAAGCAACGGCAGGTGCAACTAAAGGTCCTCAATACGTCACCTAACCCTACGACCTTACATCCTAAACCCTCACTACTACTTTTCATTGAGAACAAGAATCCCAAACCCTTCCCACTACGCTTTTGGGAGTTTCCGAAAATCAGGGTACCTTACTTCTGGGTCCTTACAACAAGGATCCTACTATTTAGGGTACTATATAGGGTCCCCTATTTTCGGAAACCCCCCTTTTCATATCAAAAAAAGGCAGCAACTCCGACCTCACGGCCTCGCCGCGGAGCCTCGAGATGGCCAAAGTGAGGGCCCGATCGCTCCTCGGGGGCTCCAAGGCAAGGGGCTCTCTGACACAATGTATCGAATAGAGTATAGTACAGAATAGTAGTCTAGTATATATAATAGTATAGAATAGAATATAGTACAGAACAGGAGTATAACCTATAGAATAGAGTACAGTACAGAACAGGAGTATAGTGTATAGAATAGAATACAGTACAGAGCAGGAGTATAATGTATAGAATAGAATATAGTACAGACTAGTAGTATAATGTATAGAATATAGTACAGAATAGTAGTCTAGTATATATAAGAGAACATAGTATATAATGGTGGTAGAGTATATAATAGAATATGGTATACAAGCCGATTGTAGTGTATGGTAGAACATAGTAGAATACAGCAAATGATAGTAGTATAGTATAGTCTAGTATCGTGAAATACAATATCATTATTGTAACACAATATAATACATTCTAGTACGATATAATTAAACAGTATATCGATATACGTATGCTTCGATTTGCGCGCTGTCAGATGTAGTGCACACCCTAATTAGGAGGCACAAGTTATACATATTATGTATAAAAAGGTGTATATACATGTACACATATCAACAGCCAAAGCGAATACATGAACTTTTGTACTCGTGACTGACGGGCTGACTGAATCAATCAATAAATCAATGGAGCACGCGTGGATGGAGGGGTCTTCTTGTGGAGGGCAGGCGCTTTGGATGGAGGGGGGTTGGATTGAGGGTGCCTGGCTGGATGGAGGACGCGTGGATGGAGGGGTCTTGTTGGATGGAGGGCAGGCGCTTGGATGGAGGGGCGGGGCTTGGATGGAGGGTGCGTGGCTGGATGGAGGACGCGTGGATGGAGAGAGGGGCTGTTGGATTGGAAGGAGGGTGCGTGGGTGGATGGAAGGGGGGTGACGGGGAGGATGGAGGGGGCAGGGATGGAGAGGGGCTGGATGGAGGGATTTGGCTTCGGTTCGGTACGGTGCGG